GGATGGATGGATGGATGGTTGGATGGATGGATGGATGGATGGATGGATGGTTGGATGGATGGATGGATGGATGGATGGATGGTTGGATGGATGGTTGGTTGATTGGATGGATGGATGGTTGGATGGATGGATGGATGGATGGATGGATGGATGGTTGGATGGATGGATGGTTGGTTGGATGGATGGATGGTTGGATGGATGGATGGATGGATGGATGGATGGATGGATGGATGGATGGATTGATTGATTGATTGATTGATTGATTGATTGATTGGATGGATGGTGTCATCAGTTAATCTTTCGGTTGAAGTTCTGACGATGTGATTAGTTTCTCCCCTGTCTGCTGTATTTGACCTTTGAGTCCAGTTTGTTCTGTTTGACCTTTGACCCCTGCGGTTCCCTGCAGCCCTGTCCGGCGGCCTCCAGGGCCAGAGCACGTCCTCGGTGAGCTCGGAGATCAAGTCTGAGGACGAGGGAGACGAGAACCTGCTGCAGGACAGCAAGCCGCTGGACAAGAAGGACGACCTGGACAAGGAGCTCAAGGCCATAGAGAGGTCGAGATCTAGGTAACCCCGCCCACCGCCCAGACGTTCGCTTCCATCAAACCCCTCAGCTGGCCGGGACGCACGTCTTCCCATCGCACCCCCACGCTGACGGCCCGCCCTGGGCGCGCCGCCGCCTGCGGGTGCGTTGGGAACCAGCCTCTGAACTTTGATGAAGTGATCAAGTGTGATGAGAATCAGCTGAAAACCGCAGAGACTTCCTGCCTCCACCAGGCGTCTGCCTCTTAGTGCTGCCTCTACTGGCAGCTTGTAGAACTGCAGGATGTAACTGTAAAAATATGTTTTTACATATTTGTTAAAACTGTCGCTATGGTTGAGACAAATAATCTGAGAGATGATCGATGTCCTCCTCACTGTGCTGACTAGAAACAACCAATCAGAGCCAGGAGGCGGGTCTTATCGCTGTCAATCACCCTGAAAAAACCCCCAACCTAAATCACCAAAAATGGAGGTGCGGATTAAAATGGATACATTTCATTTACTTTTTAAAAATATATATTTAAAGTTTTTTGTTATTTTCCTTTTCTCTGATATTCCTTGTTTTGATTAATCAGCATCAGATATTTTAGAAGAAAACGAGAAAAAATAAAAACAAGTTTACCAGAAGAAATAATAAATAAAAGAATTAACTAAACAACACTGATTGGTGAATAAATAAATAAATAAATAGTAATAAAATAAATCAGCCACGATGTGACCTGCTATGCTAGCTGCTACGATGCTGCTAGCATAGCATGTTGTGAATGCTAAGTTTAGTTAGCATAGCCACCGATGACGGCAGATAGACTGACTGTAACTCTAAGCTGTTTCTCCGCCATTAGAAGATTTAGCAGTGCATTAACGATGATGATTGACAGCGCTAAGCCCCGCCTCCTGGCTCTGATTGGCTGTTTTTGGAGCATTTCTTCAGACGACAATAAAAGCTTAGAGAAGGTGGAGAAGATTGATTTTTCCACAGATTATCTGTCTCGTATTAAGCCGTCGGTTTTTACAGATTTGTAAAAGGTATTTTTTCTAAAAGCTGCTGCAGCTTTAAGGACGGGAGGCGGATCTGAGTGGAAGTGCAGCTGCTGGTTAACTTGGTGTCTCTCCACGGTCTTGAGCCTGGATTCAGCTGCTCCTCACACAGCAGAGTAGAGCCCTCCGTTAACATTCCCAACGAAGCGCCGCCCCGCTGCGCCCTGGGCGGGAAGCCGGCAGCACGGCGACCCGGCCCGGCTGCGGCCCGTCGGCCTTCACTCCTCCAAAGATGAACGATTTTCACCGTTTATCTGGTTCCTTTGTCAACCTGGAGGCGACCAGATCTGAAACATTTGGATCCTGAACCCTGAGTTTATACCCGATGGTGGCGGCCATGTTTACTGTGATGATGATGATGATGATGATGTTTTCTGCTTTGATTCAGTTTGAAAAAACAAAGAACTGATTCACTTAGAATTTGGGCCAATATCCAGTATTGTTCCCCATTTGGCCGTATAGATAAATATTTCAGTTTTTCTGAGCTACTTTAGAAATACTGAAAGAAGTTTCACAATATTTTTTCCTCATTAATGATGACAGAATATTACCATAACGAAGGTCATAAAAGACTCGGCAGCACCGTTTGTTTGTTTGTTTGTTTGTTTGTTTGTTTGTTTGCAGGATTGTTTCAAAGTCCTGCTGTAGCTGATCATTTAAAGGATGTTTTATATATTTTATTATTTATAAACTTTATTATTTTTCATGTAAGGCTCATCATAAAATGTCTTAAATTCATTTTTTTAAAGTTGGCCTTAATACGTTAATCTTGGGTCTTAAACTTTGTGGTAGCAGGACTTTGTAAATTTATTTTTTCCATGTAGGTTTTGAGTCACTGCGATTGATGACTCATGGCGGCTAACGCTAACCGTAACTAGCTGCTAATCCTTGCTAGCTAACTAGCTGCTTACCAGCGAGCTCTATGCCATCTGAGAAGAACAAAGCTGATGCCAAGAGCCACAAGAAAAACAACAAATTCAATTTTGTTCCCCTGCATTTCTTTTGAACTTCTCTGCCATGATATTGGTCTTAAATTTTATTCATAATGGTCTTAAAAAGTCTTAAATCTGAGTCGGTGAAACCTCCAAAGCCGTGTAAATTTAAACTGACCTGTTTTATCCTGAAATCTCCTCTTCCTCCCATGGTTCTCCTCTTCCTCCCCTTCGCTGCTCCTCCTTCGTCCCTCCAGCAACAACGACGACGAGGATTTGAGCCCGGAGCAGAAGATGGAGCGGGAGCGGGAGCGCAGGATGGCCAACAACGCCCGGGAGCGGCTGCGCGTGCGCGACATCAACGAGGCGTTCAAGGAGCTGGGCAGGATGGTGCAGCTGCACCTGAAGAGCGACAAGCCGCAGACCAAGCTGCTGATCCTGCACCAGGCCGTCGCCGTCATCCTCAGCCTGGAGCAGCAAGTCAGAGGTCAGAGCCAAACCAACACTTAGGAGGCCTGGCTCTGCACTGACAGGCCCGGTCCAGCAGGGGGCAGCAGCAACACCTGTTGCTTTAGGTTTCTATTTGCACAAGATAGTTCATCTTTGATCAAGGTGATAAAAAATAGTTTTGGGGTTTTTTCTTCACAATTTTGACTAATTTTCTGATGTCAAAAGTCAGAATTATGTTTTAAAGTCATAATTCAGAGGAAAAGAGTAAAAATTCTGAAATTAAAGTAAAAATTTAGAGGAAAGTAAAAGAATTTAAGTCAGAATTTTGAGTTTGCAGTAAAGATTCTGAGTAAAAACATTTAAAAAGATTTAAGTCAGAATTCTGAAATTAAAGTAAAAACTGAGAAAAATAAAAGAATACTGAGATTTAAATCAGGATTCTGAAAAATGTCAGGAGTTTTAGGTTTAAGTAAAATTTTGAGAAAAAAAGTCAGAATACGTTTTGTTTAGTGGCACTAATCCTCTTCCGTATAAAAGAAAGTCATAAAAAGCATCAGAAGACGAATGATTTTTTTTCTTGTTGTGTCCAGAGAGGAACCTGAACCCCAAGGCGGCCTGCCTGAAGCGCCGCGAAGAGGAGAAGGTCACCGTCACCTCAGATGGGACGCCCCTCTCGCTGGCCGCCGCCCACCACGCCGCCGCCGCCGCCATGGGCGATGGACCAAACCCCATGGGACAAATGTAAACCGCAGCAAACTCTCCTCCCCCTGAATGGTCAGAAGATTTCACTTCTGCACTAACCTGCTGTCGTATCTTTAACTCCGACCATCAGCTTCCTAAATTTCAGGCCAAAAACTCGTTTCTCCTCATTTGGGTTCAGATTATTCAGCTTCATGTTTTCAGGATTCAACAGAAAATCAAACGCAGAAAAATCAGCTTTTCATGCAAACACTGAACAAGTTGAAGTTAGGAGCAGAAAATTGTCCATACGTTAAAAATGATTAGTAATATCATAAATAGAAGGACAGAGCTGATTCAGAAATGACATTTTTAGCTGAAAATTGTCAAAAACTGTTGAGGCAAATTTATAAACTGTAGGAAAAAAAGCATGTGCTGAAGAAAAAAATGTTAAAAACTGAAGATAACGACAGAAAATATACAAATTAAAAAAAAATAATAGAAATATCAGAAACATCTGAGTAAAAAAGGAGCTTCAGCTGCTGAAAACTAGTTTTAATATCAGATTTTGGTTTTATGTTTGCCATGAAACCAAAATGTAAAAATATCTTATTCTTTTCTGATGTAGATGTAAATATTTCTACTGTAAATGATTGAACAGGAATAAAACTTCCTGGTTTCTTGATGTTAAAGTCGACGGCAACAAAAACCTTTTAATTTAATAATGTAATCATTTAGTAAAAACGTCTCTGATTGGCTGAACTTTTATTTCCTCTTTCACTTTGTAGACCTGAAAACAGATTTTAACTTTTTGTTTTTTTCTCTCCCAGATGAACCAAGGAGCTGCTGACATTAACTCTTTGCTTTTCTTTAATGTAGAAACGATGCCCGGTTCTTCTTCTGTGGTTTTTTGTCTTTTCTAACTCCCAGTCAGTCCTGGCAGCCGGCGATCTCATCAGCAGGAGATTAAAGTTGCAAAATTTTAATAAAACAAAGCAGAAAATAAGAATTTATCATAAATATAAGAAACAGTTTTCACAGCCTAGAACAGCGGTTCCCAAAGTGTGGGTCGGGAACCGCAGAGGGGTCACGAGACGCCAAATGAGGGGTCGCAAAATGATGCTAAGAATCATAATGATGTGGTCCTTTACCGTATGGAAGGCCAAACGGGGCAAAATTAAGTAAATAAATGTACCATTAAAATGTAATACACATTTTAAACGATAAAATTCAGTAAAAGTTTAGAAAATAAATTCCTCTATTTTTAAATAATGTTAAATAACTATATGTGTTTTTAAGAGGTCAAAGTTTGAGAACCTCTGCTCTAGAAAACAAGGATTGTATTCTTTGTCATTTATCGTGATACATTTCTTGTCAGTATAAGACTTTAGATTTATCATCATTACTATAAACTCCAATTAATGACGTTTAAAATCCCCAGAACTGTCCGTGTTATCGGGATTGTTATTTCTGAAATGTTTCCGTTTGATTATCCGTACAGTTTAGGGATGCGATAAACAGAACTGTGTCAATGTACCTTTTTCTGAAAGGTGTTGAAGCTGTAGTGAAATCTGTAGATTATCAGTAAATACCGGTTATCGGCTATAACAGTGATTAATATCGGATATCGATATCGGCCTAATTTTTGTATCAGTGTATCCTTAACATAGTTGCCTAAAAAACAAAAAGTAAATAGTTCATATTGTCACTTTTATCATTATAATAGTACTGAAAGATATTGTGATAAATCTTCTAGTCCATATGGCGCACCATTACTGCCAAAACATTTGCTGTATTATAAATTTAATGTCTTTTGGGTAAAAAGTCGCTGGATGTTTGTGACCCGAATTATTATATTTAAAAAAAAGCAAAAAATACAACTAGAAAAATAAAAATGCTTTTTGTTTTGAAAAGTTATGGAAGTCTGTCCAAATAAAAGGTCAAATTTGGACCTTTCAGATTTCTGCAAACGGCTGCATGTGGCCCCCGCGCCTCACTTTGGACACCCCTGGCGTACCGTCTCGGTTTGTTCCTGTGCTTCGGGTAAAGTCGCCTCTTCTGACCCGGTTGACCCGGTTTCCGTTTCCTCCGCAGGTCCAAGGTGCCAGAGTTCATCAGGATGATGAGTGACCACTTCCTCTGACGGCGTTCTCCACCAACCAATCACGCGCGCCGCCTCTCGCTCCAGCCCGACCACGTAGTTCCTCCGGGTCAGATCCGCCTTCGTCTCCTCTGTGATCTGTCGTCTCCTCTTCGTCGCCATCTTCTTCTTCTTCTTCTTCTTCTTCAGTCGAGAAAATCGGACTTCAGAGTCGCATTCGTCGCTTTCCGGACGTTTTGATACGACAACTGACAAATTCCTTTGGATCCGCCCCAGGAACTCTTGTGCTACGTGTTTTATCAGCATTCCCAGGACAAAAAGGCTCTATATAAATATATATAGTAAATATATATATATATATGTGTGTAAGAAAACAGAAAAAGTTTAAAACGGGCAGCGAGGAAGGTTGGGGTTAAGGAGGGAGCAAACATATCACAAAGTGTTTAAAGAGATTCTTGTTTTTTAACGCAACATTTGCGCAGCGGTTGATCGCAGCCTCGACACGGCACTCTAGCGCCGCACTGTGGATGAAGCTGTGCCTCACCACCTCTCGGATAGACGCACAGGGAGAGGATTCTGAAAAAAAACCTCCCTCAAACTTCCCGAGGAAAGCTTAGGAAGAAGACAAACCGGCACCCGCAGGAGCGCTTAGGCGCTTCTGTCCAAACCTGCACAAACTCATCATGTTTCTGTAGAGGTAAAAGTACAAAAACGGTTGGGAGTTAGCGACCAAACGGCCCGGATAGAGCGAAGAGTCACTGAGCAGACCAAACAACGCTAATGCTAGCTTAGCACGACAAATCATGGAGAGATGAAGGGAAACTTGGACTGGACAGCAAAGCGAATCACATTCCTTGAGCCGCTACTTGAATCAAGAGCTCCAACATGGAAACACAAAGCGAGGGTCAGAGGAGGCCAGGGAACAATCACCATGGCGACGGGGTCCGCTGCCGCCGAAGCATTCCCGCTCTGATCCCAATCCTGCCCACGCTCCGACACCGGTGAAAGGGGGCTTCAAGATGGCCGCCGCCGCAGGGCGGTAAAGTTCAGAGTTCATCCTGATTTTCACCAGCAGCAAGAGGTCAGAACAGGAAGTGGAAATATTTACAGACGAGTCCACAGTTACAGCATTTCCATTAAACAAGAAGTTAAATTCAAACATGAAAAAGTCACTAAAAATCACGGATGACGAAAGTCTGAGATGACAAATGTTCCTGGACGATAAATTATCCCAGAAGTTATTGCGATAAACGATAATATTGTTGTTTTGATTTTCAATCATTTTACTCTAATACTGAGTAACTGATGAAATTATCAATCATTTATGATTTAAAAATCACATCATCAGATGAACTGAACCAAGAGGCTGTCTTCAGTCAGAGGCTTCTTCAGATTTGCTGCAGCACAGACTGCTACAGGCTGTTCCTGCCAACAGCATCAGTAGCTACAATAACTCTTTGAATTGAGCCAAAATATAACATCAAGTAGAAATTTTTGTATTTTAGGGACCAAAATGAAAATAATTCATAGAAGTAACAAAAAATAGAAGAAAAATTTTCCAAACCAGTTTGTTTAAATAAAACTTCAACAGAAACTGCAGGTGTGTGTCTGGTTTTGGTTACAACATGTTTGTTTTTCATTCAGTAAAATCCAGAAATGTTATTGAAATAAAAGTAAAAAAAAACTAAAAGTACATTTTCTTCAAAATAAGTTTCTGCAGTAAATGTCTCCAGTTTTTAATACTTCTGCATCGATCCGATGAAAACTGACATGAAACCATCGGGACGTCTCCCAGTCTGGAAGCCTCCTTTCACCCCAGTTTGACCAATCCAGTTACTGGACTGAACTGGCCTTACCCCCCTCCCCCCACAGATGCAATTTGAACACTGACAGTTGAACCGACGTGCCTTTCTTAGAGTCCATATCATGGAGGAAGACGTTTCCTGGTCTTTTCATAGGATGCAAGCTTAGGGAAGCCTGTTGTTAGCGGTTAGCTTCTATGCAGTCAGGTTTTTTACCAGACCTGGGAATTTAAAAAATGATAAAAAGGTTAAAAAAAAAAAGTATTTTTTTGGATAAAAAATAAAGCAAAAAAACAAAAAAAATAAACTGTATTTAATGTACTGTATGCTTACCTGTAAGTAGACGGCGTGTTCTGGATAGACGCTTCGATTTAGCGAGACCAGCCCCTGTCCCAGTCCTCCCAGTCCTCCCAGCCCCAGGCTCCTGTCCCAACCCTGTGTCCACGGTGGACAGCTGCGTCTCTTCTTGTATTATAGCTTATCGGCTTTTTATCAATATTTGATCGGCTTGTCCGTAAGCCCATGTAGTCTTCAGTACTCAGTGTGTGGTTGTTTGTTGTAAAACTATTTCTTTTCTCTTTTTTTGCCCCTCTTCTCTTGCTCTTTCTTTTTTTAAAGAATGATTTTTGTTTCTTATTACTTTTTTTGTCTGTTCTGGTTTACATGTCTAATAGAAAAACTGTAAAAGGAATAAAAAACAAAAGGGAAACAAAAGAACACAATTCGCCATCCAGCAGCTTCGTTCGAATCCCAAACACCCGACAGGAAGGCAAGGAAACTGGAAAGAATCTATTGAATAAATAAATCGATCTATATATAAATGTACAAAAGTATATACGATATATAACGAGGGTGCCGTTTCTGTTTTTTATTGATATTATCAGTGTTTGTTTTTGGGGAGCAGTTATTTTGTCACAGACTGAACCGACAGAAAAGGCGACGCCCCTCAGTGTTAGAGATTTTCACCTTGACTGCTTCGTATTCTTCGTTACGGCAAGTACGGCATCCTGCACAGGACAAAAATAGCGGGACCGGAGTTCCACAACAACACACAGACATTTGTAAATTGTATGCAACAAAAATTGCAAACTTTACCATTATTTTGAAATTGTGTATGTAAAAGTTATATTTTTACATGTAGACGGTTGTTATTTTGTGTTTTAGAAATATGTTGTACCGTTTTGTTTTTCTTTTTTGTTTTTTGTTAAAAGATGAAAAAGTACAATTCAGTGTGTGTTGGAAAAAAATGTGTCACATTGAAAATGTAGTGAGATCAAAAGTTCAGAACTCATTTGTTTTTTAATTTTTACTACGTTTTTATCTTTAAGGGTTTCAAGTCGAGGAATCAGAAGTTAAAATGTTCCCGTTTGTTTTTCCCTTGCAGCGTTCGTTACGTCTTCAGTTGCAGAAATGTGTGTAAATAGTCATCAGCCGGTTTCCGTGAAAACGCTAGAGACAGCGAACGCTGATTTTTACCGGTGCCAACTTTTGGTTTTGGTTCGGTCAGAGCCGACTCGCCAACAATCCTGTTAGATTCCTGCCAAAAATCACAGCGTCTGAATATTTTTTTAAACTGTAAAACCGAGTTGAACACATCTGTGGAAACGTTTTTTGGATGGTTGAACAAATTTTTGGACAAATTTCAACTAACTCTGGTAGCCAAAGAGTGTAAATCAGCTCGGCGCCCCCTGGTGGCTGTGGGTCGACTACGACTGCTTTTGCTATCTGGAAGAAGGCGTGTAAATGTTGAATGAATGGAAAACCCTCAGCACCTGATTGGAGATTAATATATGATGATGATATTAGGAGAAGATTGGAGCTAATATAAAGGAGCAGATACCTGCCAACAATCTCATCAGCTATTTCCCCAAAAACGGATCGGATGGAGAGCAAGGCGGCGTCAGTCGCAGTTTTTAGTGTTTGCCGTTCAGATTGAGCTGCTCTGACTTGGACCTGGGTCGAACACTAGGATCGAATCTGCTAAATGTATTTTAATTAATGTTATTTTTGAAATTTTTCATACATATTTTCTTTGTTGTATACTCGTCTCCCAGATTACAGTTTCCTCATTTTGTCCCCCATCGGTTCTATTAGAGGAGCTGTTAACTTTTCGTTCTTGTTGTACATACACACCTCATTTCTCTTTTCAGTGACTGTGCCATGAGCTTTGTAATCTGTTAATCTGTACCAGTTTAACTGCAATAATGAGTTGAATTCAAAATGGACTTTTTTCTGTCGTTTTTATATCTGTTCTTGTGTGAGTGGGTGTTTTATGGAAAAGGACAGTTAAATATGATAAACCACAGTTTTAGGAACAAGTTGACATTTAGTCCATCTGATCTATTTCACTTTCAAAATGTTTGGATGTTCATTTAAATTTAAACTTCTGGTTGCTGAAACAAAAAGGGAATTTTATCATTTGACCATAAAAGAAACATATCAAACTATGAACTTATGAAAACCAACATGCAGAAGGATGATCATGTTTGGGACAAACATTTGTTTTACAGAGGATAACATTTATGTATAATACAATTTCCAATCACTTCATTAGTTTCTTATTATTTCTAATTAAATTGGGTTCAGTTTTAGTTTTGGCTTCTGCTAAATACCATGTTGGTGTAACGCATTAGCATTAGCATTAGAGGTAATGTTTATGATTAGTGCTTTAGGGTTAGCCCAGTTAGCAGTGCTAGCTAAACAGCTCTGTCGCCTCCATCTTGTTTCCATCTGGTGAAGCAGGAAGTTGCTCTCAGTGTCTTCAGAGGTTTTGTGTCGTTTCCTTCAGTGGTTCTTGGTGCAGCGCCCCCACAGGCCAGGAGGGGAACAGGTTGGTTTGACTCAGAACCAAAGCAGCTGGAGGAGGAGCAGATGATGGAGTTCTGGTTCTGAACCAAAGCGGGTCTACTGGACCATCAGGTGGGGAAACGGCTCTGGTTTTAGGCAGTATTGCTCTGCCATACCGACATAAACAGGCTCCTGCATTTGGGTCCAAACTCACTTTTATGAAGACAAAAACTGAAGATGAATGTTATTAATAAGTGGAGAGTAGCAGGAGAAAGCTGGAAGGTTCCCTCCAGCGGTCAAAGGTTCTCAGAGGTGATTGGTTCCTTTATTGTCTCTCTGTTACGCCACAACATGCAGTGTGTTTTCTCTGTTTACCTGTCGCCATGTGCAGAGCTCATGCTGCGGCTCGGCGTTAGCAGCCTGCTAAAACCAGCCTGGAGCCTCTGGGCCTCAGCTGAAAGCCGCTCCGCTCTGCTGAGGATGACAGATGTGATGTGTCACTCAGGAGGTTCTTCGGTTTCTTCCCACCGGCGATCTGACGTCAGGAGAAATAGTTCACATGCTTCAAAGTATTACTTTTGATATGAATCCATCAAGTTGACTTCAAAGCCAGACGTCAGTGAATGATTCCAGATCAGCAGCTGATTGACACGACTTAAAGAACAACCTTTCCTCACTGCAACAAAATCATATTTGACTAAAACCTTACTTTTTTTTTTTTTTTTTAGACATTTTGTCAAAATTGTTGACTAAATTTTGGTTTCTTTTATCTCGTCTTTTCCTGCAGCCATTGTACAGAGCATATAGCAGGAAAACCAGCTGACCAAATGAAATGGAGCTCTGCTGGGGTTGCTAGGTAACAGGCAGAATTCTGCTGAGGTTGCTAGGTAACGGGCAGAATTCTGCTGGGGTTGCTAGGTAACGGGCAGAATTCTGCTGGGGTTGCTAGGTAACGGGCAGAATTCTGCTGAGGTTGCTTGGTAACAAGCAGAATTCTGCTGGGGTTGCTAGGTAACGGGCAGAATTCTGCTGGGGTTGCTGGGTAACGGGCAGTGCCTGCTGATTTGTGTCGTTACATTCTGGAGGTTTTTAAAATGGCTCATTTTTCAGACACCGAAAACATTAATTTATTGCCAAAAAACAGCTGGATTTTTTTAAGTGCTTCATCTGTTTTTAGAATCAGCAGAAACTCAAATGGGTTAAAAAAAATTGTAAAATGTGAATTTTTTTATTATAGAGCGATTCTTCCATAAATTCATCCAGTTCTTACATTGAAAAAAATAAAAAAAAATCATTCCAGTTTCATGTTGACCCAGGATGAGAGAAATTAATCATCTGAAACCTAAAACTGATGTCATTCATGACCTTCTGACCTCTGGGACACAGGCTGATGAATGAGGATCATAAAGTTCTGATCTGAATTTGTGCCGGTTTATTTGCGGTTCGGGTCACCAGGTGTTGGTTTTAACATGATGACAAACAGAACCTGAACCGGGTCTCGGGACTTGTTGACCTGGTGGTCGGGTTTCCACTGGAACACAGACGCTCTCCATGTCGAATGTTTTCCAGAACCTTCAACTTCATCATCACTTTTCAGCCTCAGTCATCTGAACAGATTTTATCTGCTTCATGAAATATTAATCACACTCATGCCTAGAGGTTCAAGTCCAGGTAAGACTGTTATTGGTGGAACCAGTGATAAAGCGGTTCTATCTACTGTATATCTGTGGCTTTCATAACCACAACCTGTTCAACGTTTTGTCCCAGAACTCTGAGATAAGGAAGGATTGAGAACAGGTAATCTGTCCGACCCTTAGGGCTGGACCTCGATCTGCCCTCCTGGTTGGTCTTGATATCATTTTTCTTTGTTATTTCATGTTTAAACCTGCAGAGAAAACAGGGTCGGTTCTAATTGAACTGTTTTTAACATGCTGGGTTGCATAACTGAAATATT